CAAACAGACAGAGAGAGACATAGAGACATAGAGACAGAAAGCGAGAAATCACCCCCCAGGGGGGATGGTCACACCGCAATCCCTTCTCCTCCATTCTCCTCTCGGGATCTTGGGCACGCACGCACATGCGCCTGGTGTGAGTTCCAAGCCACCGGGTCCGGGACGCGAACTGCGGTCGACAACATGGGAGTCCAGCGACACAGCCATTACGCTAACTGCTGGTTCCCTAAAGCACGTGTTCTTAACCTTGAGACTCACTGCTTAGGAGGGGGACAGTGAATAGTAATTCACCCAGTCCCTTCCCCAATAGCTTCAGGACTCTCTTCTGCCCTCCCCAGAGTGGTCCCAGCCCTTGTGTATTCAGGCTGAGACAAAATGAGAGGTCTAGGGAGCCTTCAAATCCCCTTCCCCAGTTGGGGTGAGGATGGGGGTGCTGCTGAGCCAGGCTGGGAAGCTATAAATGGGACACTGACACTCCACACCCTGCAGTCCTTCCTCTGAGCTGAGCAGGCCGGGCAGGCCCCAGTCAGCTGCCTCCACAAATACGTAAACATATAAATCGCAAGGGAAAGCTGGCAAAGCCACAGAGGAGAGGCAGATAGAGGGGAGGAGGGGGCAGCAGACCCTGAGGAGTGGAGGGAGGAGCTGGGGTTCCAGCACCGGGACCTGCGGATGCACCGGATACTCTCGGAGGCCCAGTCTGGGCAAGGAGGAAGGAAAGCAGGCTAGGGAGATAGACTGGTGTGTTAGAGTAACCCAGGACTGTGTGAGAGGGTGCAGGAGCAGGGACGGAGGGGAGGCCAGCACTCCCTCACCATGGGCAGTGGGTTGGGCCCCCAGATATCTGGGATAGACCCTGCAAGAGACTGAGTCTCCACTTCATTCTGGGACCAGCTTCCATTCTTGGCAGGCAGGACTATGTCATGCAGCCTTCTTTGTCAGCCCCATCTCCTGCCGGCCTGAGGAGGCAACCCCCACATGTGTGAGACTGCGTGGACAGAATTGTGAACATTCCCTGGCCTTGGCAGTCTCTGCTCAGCCAGGAGGGCAGCTGTGGGGAGGAGAGAAGAGGACGCAAAGCCACTGGGGTAGTGAAGAGCCAGCTGACAGTGCGTGAAGCCAAGAGTCCCACATTCTACAGAGCTCCGGACCCAGCCATCTAGGGCCAACACCCCACCGCCCACGTGGTTCTCATTAGGTTCATTCGCAGCAAAACAGCAACAAGCAAACAGCACTGGGACCAGCTAATGAGCACACAGACCTTCTGCACAAGCTGCCTTCAAGTGGAAGGCCAACGCCCACTGGCAAGTCCCTCCAGGAGAGCTGCCAGCCTGTGTGTCTAGGTCAGGGTGGGCAACAGGGGAGCTGCAGAGTGAGAGCCATGGAGCAAATTACCAGGGTAGTGGGCATTGGTGGCACCCCAGAACAGCACCCCACCAGGGCACGAGTGCACACTCAGACACATGTTGGTACTGGGATGATCTGCGGGCTCACCCCACCTCAAGTTTCCAGTGTCGAAACTCCAGTCTGGCAGAGAGCATCATCGGAAAATCCCAAGCAAGTTAGGAAACTGAGAACCTCCAGGCCTGTGTGAGGCCCACGCCCAGACCCCTTAAGCAGCTGGGGAGAAGCTCACCCTGTGAAGCCACCCTGCTCCAGCTTCCACTCAAACTTCAGCAACACTCTCCTTCAACCAGTGATGTCTCCCTGCAAAGGCTTCGAACACACCATCCTCTCTCTACCTCCAACTCTATACCCACTCCCTGGCCCCCTGAGTCCCTGACTGCTCTTCTACTCAAAGTGTGGTCCCTGGACCAGCCGCATCAGCATCCCCTTGGAGCTTGTTAGAAAGGCAGGCTCTTCCGCTCTGCCCAGATCTGCTGACTCAGAATCTGCTCTTTAATAAGACCCCAGAGGACTCGTGGGCACATTCAAGTGAGTAGGGTCTCCAAGGCAGCTCTTCCTACGATGGACCCCAAACTCTGCTCAGTGGCTTTCAGCCTCAAGCTTTTAAGAAAGAACCAGCCCAGAAAGTCTGTTTAGCACAGAACCACCTGGCCACTGACATCTCGGGCTTCTTGGCCCAGGAGAGTTGTTCAAAGCTCCTTCTGATTCTCAGATTCTCTAATGAGCTGTGTGACCTTGAGGGTATCAACATTTCTACAAGGTTCACTTTGTTCTTCTTTAAAATTATGAGGCATAAATGTTCCCCCAATTCTGCCCACACCCACAGTGGGCCTGTCCTCTGAGAGCCCCCACTAATCTGCTGGTCCTGGTTCCCCAAGAAGGAAAGGCTGTTCCCACAGAAGATCGCTTGGTTGTTCAGTTTTGACTTTGGGGTTTGAGTTTCTTTATCTGGAGGTTCTCAGAGAGACCCAGGCTTTTTTCTGAGCTGCATCTCTAGGCTGGCAGAGAGCATGGGCCAGGAGGCCTGAGACAGAACTCCAGAGCTGGGTCAACCAGCATCTCTATCCACAAGAAAATGACATGCCATCCATCTCATCCCCATCTCGGGAGAGACAGGAGAGTCAGAGATGACGGGCACCCCCAGGCTGGGAATGCCGTGTTTTCTCATACACTGATCAGCTGTGCCACCTTGGCCCTGTTTCTTAACCAAAGTGCACCTTGCACAAAGTGAGTGCCACGTCGGACTGCCTCTTGTTACTGTTGCTGTTAGTACATGTGACACCAACAGTGAAGGCCTGAGCATGGGGGCTGTGGCTCTTCACATGTTCCTCCTTGGTTTTCACAGAACTAAGATGGTTATTCTCTTTTCTCTCATTTGACCAGCTGACCAGGCTTCAGAGCAGGCAAGGAAACAATGCTGCAGACACAGGATCAGAGCCTCATCTGACCAGCCCAGTAGAGTCTGACGGGAGCCAGAACCATCGGGCCAGGGACCAGGGCATGCAATGGGAATGGTGTCCCCGGAAATGTGTGATGGACATGGAGTCTCTGGGGCCAGGTGTATGCTGGACATGAGAGTGGGGGGGGGGCTCGACAAGGCCCTGCGGGTAGGGAGTGTGGGCCCCAACACAACTGGACAGCAGGAGAGTGCTGGAAGCTTTAGGCACCTGAGCGGGCATTTGATCTGAGAAGTGGTTTCTAGTTGGAGGTATTGAAAGTCTCCTCCCTCCCACTGCACATTGCCTCCACTCCAGGAAGGCTGTATCCTCAGGGCGCAGATTGTGGAAGAGACTGGTTCCAGGTTCTGGAGTCCCTGAGCCTGCTCTCTGAGAAAGAGAGAGAGAGACAGGGAGATGGATGGGGCAGGAGGCACTCACGTTTGATACAGTGGTTGGTGCTGTTTGCCGTCGTCCATCCTGGGCAGCACTGTCCTCCGCAGACATTTCTCCTGTGGGGTTGCCAAAACAAGGTCAGCAAAAGGATGTTCAGAGTTGGAACTATTCATCCAGCCTCTCTGATGGACTCACCCTCTACAGCCAGGGCCTAGGGAACACTGTCCTATTCTACAGGGAGGCCACATGGCCTTGAGATCACGCAAACCCAAGGCTGCATCCTGACCACCATTCTCCGTTTGCCCTTGGGAAGCCTCTTTCTCGGTCCATACAATGGAGATGATCATAAATGCCTAATCGGGTGGTTGTGATGATTAAATAAGACTGGGAGGTTAGCACCTGATGCAAAGAAGGCCATCCACTGATGCACAGGGACAGTGACTGTCCAGACAATAAGCAAGCAAGTTCAGAGGGGTTCAGGAACTTGCCAAAGCCACATAACAGGCAAGTGCTGGAGCCCGACTCAAACCTGGGTTGGTCCAACTCTGAGACATGCTCCAATTCACACACACACACACACACTGCCTCTCCCCAAAATAAACACTGCGGTCCTTGCCCTGTGAATGCCAACAATCCAGAGGAGGCTGGAAGACATACACTAAACTTTTTTTTTTTTTAAGAGAGATGTTTTGCTATAGGGTGCATGCACTCACCAGAGAGACAGAGACAGAGACAGAAAGCAAGAAATTACCCCCCAGGAGGTTTGGCCACACTGCAGTCCTCCCCCTCCATTCTCCTCTTGGCATCTTGGGCATGTACACACATGTGCCCAGCATGAGTTTTACGCTGCCAGGCCTGGGACTCAAACTGCAGTCAACTACATGAGTCCAGTGACATAAGCATTACACCATCTGCTGGTCCTGACACACACTAGACTTTAAGGATGTACACATGACCCTCGGACAATGGGTTTGAACTGTGTAGGTTCACTTGTACATGGATTTTTTTCAATAAATATAGTGGAAAATACAATGCAGTACTGTAAACTCTTTTCCTCAATGACAGCTCCTTTTGTCTAGCTTACTTTATTGTAAGAACACAGCATATAATACAGAAAACACACAAAATATGTGTTAATTGACTATGTTATCAGTAAGGCTTCAAGCCAACAGCAGGCTGTTAGTGGTAAGTTTTAGGGGACTTAGAAGTTAAAGGTAGGGACCAGCAGATGGCATGGTGGTTACATTGCTGGACTCCCACATGGTTGACCATGGTTCAAGCCCTGGACCTGATGGCTTCAGACTCACACCAGGCGCATGCGCATGCATGCCCAAAATCCCAGAAGGAGAACAGAGGAGAAGGGATTGCGGCATAGCCATCCCCTCTGGGGGGGGGGTGACTTCTCGCTTTCTGTCTCTCTATCTCTCTCTGTCTCTGCGGTGAGCACACACGCCCTATATCAAAACAAACAAACAAAAAACTCTTCAAAAAAAAAAAAAAAAGAAGTTATAGGTGGATTTTTGACTGCACAGGGATTGGAGTCCCCAGTTGACACATTCAAGGTCAACCAGGCATAGGCGTCACCAGCCAGTGAGTGCATACTAGGAGGCGCCTTAGCCCTCGTAGCCACATAGGCCGGTGCGTGGTAAGACTAAGCACTGCATGGGAAACCAAAGGAACAGGCCCTTGGGTTTCTATTTAAGAGGAATCTCTGAGGGGCAAGCTGGCAAGTTGAGGCTGGGGGTGCAGTTTAAGCTACATCTGCATAGCAGGCACTCTTATTATTTGGGGAGGCTAATGGAGCTTGCTTTATGGGAGATAAAGACCTCCCCAGAGCCACCCCTCCATGTTGGCCCTGAGGGCACTTGCACAAGAAACTGACCTGCAGGCACACTCATCCAACCCACCCAAACTGCTCAAGTGCCAGGTGAGCACCAGCAGGCCCCATCCAGCCCTGAGTGTCCATCTCAAGACCCACATGCCTGGCCCAGGGTGTTTCCAGTCTGGGCCTGGTTCTGGCTTCCTGGACCCCACCGTTATCCCAAAGTTGGCAACTGGAACTGCAGAGTGATTGGGAGGGAGCGGTATGGCGGCTGCAAAGGTGAGGACAGAACAGGGTGGCCATTCCTATGATCTCTGTGGCCAGCACGGCAAGCATCTGCTCCCATTTAAGAGTTTGTTTGACATTCGAGTGGACCCCAAAGCTTGTGTGGTTTTTCAGAGCCTTCCAAAGAATTCAAAATAAATTCCTACAGCTTAAAAAGCTGAGGCCCATTCCTGGCCCTTTGGCCCAGAGTTGTGGGGAGCTGCCTCCTAGAGAGCTCCCAGAATGTCCTGCCAAAGTTGTGCCACTCAGGTCACCTCAAAGCCTTTCTGGGCCACCACCTCCAGCAACTTCCCGGTTCCAGGAAGGTGTCCTCATCTAGGTCCACATCACCAGGTTCCTGGGAAGGACCTGTTCCTAGACCTAGTGCGTGTGCCCTGCTGGAAGGGGGAGATTGCCTGCCCATTAGTAAGTCACTACCCTCCACGGTGACAAGATCTCTTAGGGGTCTTTGAGAAGGAGTATTCTAAGAACCGAGGCCTGCGAGAACCCAGACAGCATAAACCGAGGGGCCTGCCAGGTGAGAAGGTCATGGCATGCAGTCTCACCCCAGGAGACCCCGGAACCAGCTATGACCCCAGATACTCTCAAGATAGCTTTGCAGCTGGTGGAAGAAGGCAGTGCTAGGCCTGCCCTGCCTGCCCATAGGGGAGCCCCAAGGAACGTCAAGGCCACAGTGAGGACCAGTCAGAATCAAAGGCTGCCAGGCCAGGGTCAGGTGGGGGCTGGGAAGGTACTCAAGACCAATTTACGTACCCAACAAGAGCCTCTGAGGTCCTTTCTCAGGACCTCAGATATAGAAGTCTCGGTTACGGGCCCAGGAAGATGACCACTGGGAGATAACTTTTCAGTGGACCCTGGCTAGGTAGCATAGCAAGAGCATGTAATTCGACAGCTCTGACTCGCTGGGACCACATGAGCCCAATCTTCCCGAGGACACTACTCAGTAAGCATTAGCCCAACCTTCAGCATTGCTGTTGGGGACGCATCTGCCTAATAGCCTCGGACAGCTACTGATCCACCTGGGACACACCTGGTCTTACTGGCCCTTTGTTAGAAACCTCCCACAGCTATCCACTGGCCTCTACAAAACCAACCTGGCCTCCACTTGCTTGTACAGTCTCATGATCCCCATCACCCCTCCCTTGTCTCCACAACCACCAACGAGTAAGGCTGTGTTCCTCCAGGGAGACAAAGCTGTACTCTGAATGCACCATCGAGGTCGCACCTCAATGTCTTTGCCCTCTCTGCTTAGAATGCCTGAAATCTTTGGTATACTCCAAGACCCCCAGATAAAATGTTACTTCCTTTGTGTGAAACCGCCCTAACATCTAGCCAGCCTTCCCCACTCTCCATCCACTGCGATCATGTAGTACCGATGGACTCAGGTTGCTGGTTGTAGGTATGTCTGTCTTGGGTATCTTGAGGGTTCTTTCTTCTCTTTGGGCCTCTGGAGTCTAACACAGGGCCTGACACTTGGTATACATTTACTACCTCTTTGCTTCACTTAAATCAGTGTTTCCAAAAAACTAGGAGATGAGCATCACAGAGGACAGGAAAGGTACATGATCAGAAAGTTGAACAATTCTGAGTCACACAGTGAAGAAGTGATTCCTGGGGCCAACAGATGGTGTGGTAGTTACGTCACTGGATTCCCACATGATCTACTGTGGTTCAAGACCCATATCTGGGGGCTAGAAAATAACGCTGGGCTGGGAACCAGCAGTTAGCGTAATGGCTATGTCGCTGGACTCCCATGTAGTCGACCGTGGTTCGCGTCCCAGATCTGGTGGCTTAAAATTCACGCCGGGCGCGTGTGCGTGCGTGCCCAAGATCCCGAGAGGAGAATGGAGGAGAAGGGATTGCAGTGTGATCATCCCCTCTGGGGGGTGATTTCTCGCTTTCTGTCTCTATGTCTCTCTCTGTCTGTCTGGCAAGCGCATGCGCCCTATAGCGAAAACCTCTCCAAAAAAATAAAAAATAAAATAAAATAAATAACGCTGGGCATGTGTGTATGCGTGCCCAAGACCCCTGGAGGAGACTGAAGGGAAGGGATTGTGGCGTGGCCATCCACCCGGGTGGGAAGCTCTCATTTCCTCTCTCACTGTCTCTGTCTCGGTCTCTATCTCTGATGAGCACATGTGCTCTATGGCAAAAACCTCTGAGAAAAACAAACAAGAAGTGATTCCCTCTCCTGTGATCTTTCTAACTTATTTAAGTCCGTGAAAAAGTCACCATCTGAATCAGGGTCCTCATGCCAGATTCTCTTGTCAACACTTGCTAGTCCTCCATTCCAACAGAGAGATCATGCCACAGGGTTGAGCTTCCTAAGATAATGAATGGCACTTAAGAACATTTGTTTTCATTTCAATGTCCCTATCATTACCTTGTCTTTACAACAAATGGTATTACTTTCAACTTATAATAATGATACAAAGTTCCCTTTTAACTATGAATTTATTTATGCAGAAAAATGACTCAAGAGCTCTTTGTCATAGCAAAATATGTAAGTCATGTAAATGTCTCAAAACAGAAGGATAGATAAATAAACTGTGGTATATTCAGACAAAGGAATAATATACAACGGTTATAACGAATAAACTTGGACTAATTATATTAACATGGTTAAATCTTAAAAATCTAATGGAGGGCAAAACAAATCGAAGAAGCACAATGCAATATGGCATTACTGATCTAAGTTTAAAATATACAGTAGTAATATGTGTATTATGTGGATAGATTCATCCATAGTAATCATAGTAAAACTTCTAAAATTAAATAAATTCAGGATAGTGGTTAACACTGGGAGAGAGTCAGGCAGGTTTATAGAGGAAATTTCAACTGCAAAATGAAAGCAAAATATGCCAAAATACTAAGGTTTGATAAAGCTGAATTGTGACTTATATTATGCAAATAGCTTGTTATATGTAGGTAAAACTTTATAATATGCTTTAAAAAGATAAAATAAAATAAAATATAAAATCCTGTTATTTTAATAGCATATAAATTTAAAATATATAATAACATAATAAGAAGGGAGAAGTACAAAAAATATGAAGGCATGCTATGAATTTGGCTCAAGAAACACTGAAAATTGGGAAACAATGACTGAATCGGTTCCCTGCAGATCGTAAATTTCATTAGTCGGCTCTGACCACTGCTGTATCCTAGATATCTAGCACTGTGCTTGGCACATACTTAATGACCCTATTATGTGCAATAAATCCTCACTATGTTGAAAATTCTATGAGGACAGAGACTGTCTGCCCTGGCCACTGATGTATACCAGAGTCCAGCATAGGGTTGGGCACATAGGAGGCTTTCCATAAATGGTGAATGGATAAAGAATACCGAGCAGTAGTGCTGCAGTTTCAAGCTTCACCAGCAGGTGGCACTTAGTCCTTGGCGTTGAACAGTGTAAGAGGCAATGGCCAAAATAGCCAATCTGGCCAGAAGCCATAGGCCAAAATAGACGTGAGTGGAGGAAGTCAATGGACAAGATTGCCGCTCAGCCCCTCCTCAGCTGACATGGGGTGGCTAACTGGAGTGCCAGAGGAACGCACTCTTCATTAAAGCTCAGAAGACAATCTGGGGAGGAGCCAAATCCAGCGAGGGATTCTGACTGGTGCAGCATTGTACGGCAGGTGCCTGTCAGCGGCATCCAGCCCATGCCCTCGCACACTTGTGCACATCTGCCAGTCTTGTAGTGACAATCTGCTCTCCTCATAATTGTTCATTTCACAGTTTTTTTTTTTTTTTGAGAGGTTTTAGCTATAGGGCGTGTGTGCTCGCCAGAAAGACAGAGAAATAGAAAGTGAGAAATCATCCCCCGGGGGGGATGGCCACGCCACAATCCCTTCTCCTCCACTCTCCTCTCAGGATCTTGGGGGTGCATGCACACGCTCCCAGTGTGAGTTTAAGCCACCAGGTCCAGGACTCGAACCATGGTTGACTACATGGGAATCCAGTGACATAGCCATTATGCCAACTGTTGGTCCCACATTTCACAGTTTCTAATAGTGCACCTTCCCACCCTTGTCCTGCACTTCCCCTCCCCCAACCTGCACCTAAATGTCTACACTGTAAGCTCCTCTATGATCCAGCCTGACTTCTGTCTCCAGCCTCAATCCCTATGGCTGCCTGTCCCTGGGCCAGTGCGAAAAGTGAAAAAACTTTGTCCTTGGGCAGTGCTACACCAGCACAGCATCCTGATTGGGTCCCACTCCTGTCACCCCTCTGCCTCTCCACATGCTACCCATCGAGTTCCAGGGGCTCCAGATCACAGGGCCTTCTTCTCTGAGTTCCTCAGCCACAACCATCCCATTCCATGGCACCTACCACAAAGTGTGCAGTACTGGGAAGCACATCCCCAGGTAGATTTCTGGTCATTTTCCCAAGTCGACTGTAAGTAATTGAGTTGCTCTCTCGGCAGGAACAATGTCTAGGCTTCCTGGGCCCTTTCCCAAGCTCTGCGCACACACTCTGAGGAAGCCTGTGTTCACTTGCACAGGTCAGAAAAGGGAAAATCTGAACCACAGCAGGGGCTCCGTGAATACTTGCCGAGCGATCCTGTGTGCAAGGACCGGGCAGTTCACAGGTCTACTCTCCGTAGGGCCTCCTGCAAGCAGCAGGGAGTTCCTTCACTCATTCCACAAATACTGGATGAACACCAGCTATGTGCAGACACTGTTCCAGGTATCGGTGACATAGAAATGAACAAAACAGACCCTGCTTTCAAAGAGCTGGCAGGCCAGCCCCCTAACACATAAACAGAAACACGTCTGACAGAATACGGGCTATGAAGCAGCATGAAGCAGGGTGAAGGGAGAGGTTGGGTGGCAGGAGTGGTCAGAGCACACCTCTCTGAGCAGAGATCTGAATGAACCAGTGAGCAAATTCCTGAAAAAAAGAGAAAATTCCGGCTGAAGTATGGGAGGAGTGGTCCAGCCAAGGAAAATATCAGTGGAAAAGTTAGGCAGAAAGTCCTCAGGAGTAGAACTGGTGGCAAGTGTCTTTGCTGCTCACTCGGCTAAACCCAACTGAGGAATGGGCCCCAGGCCAAGAAGAGCTGCCAGCATCCTTCCCAGCCCCCACACTGCCCTGTACGGCCCTGGCCCCTTGTTCCAGAGACACCTGTTACACCCAGGCAAAGCTGAACGCCCTCAAGCCACACAGATCCCCGATGGGGGCGAGGCCTCCTCACGCTGCGACAGCGCCCCCCGGCGGGCAGGGGGTACTGCCCAGGGGAGCAAATAAGTCAATCAGAGCTGCAAGGAAGGTTTAGTCCTGCAAAGCGCTGGAGTAACAGGACACCAAGACTCAGTGTTGCACACAGACCCAGTTCTCCTGCACCCACTATGCCATAGCTACGTCGGGGAACAGGCTTCCTGCCCACGGTGTCCCCGAGCCCGTACGCACTCCTACACCTAGCCCTGAGCACGCACGGGCTGATGCCCCAACCCCTACCCTCATCCTGGCGCCCCAGCTTCACTGCCAGCCCCTTTCCCAGAGACGCAGCTGCCTTGGCGCCTTAGAGGCCCCAATATTCTCCACCTAGCCGTGGTCTTGGCCAGCTCACCCGCCCCTGGTCCTGGAGCCCCTATCCCACTGCCCCCTCTTGCTAGCCCTGGGCTGGAGGAACGCGGGCGAAGGCAGAGAAGCCTTGGGAGAGGAGATCACGTCGGGGCTCAGGGCGAACTGGCAGGAAGGGTAGAGACCGTGTTGCTCTACACCATCAACTCCGAAAGCCGTCAGAATTCTGGGCCGGTCTTCGGAACCTCAGGGCTGTTTCCCCGCAGTACGGAGGGCAGAGAGACGAAGGCATGTCTGGCAGCTTTTTCCTCTAGCCTGCACGCCCCTCCGCGAATGAGTGCAGGGGAGCCCCAGCGCGTCGCTCTCCCCTCTCCTCCCATGTTTCCTTCGCCCGTGCTCACCCCGTGAGCCGCCCTCGCGGCTGGGTTGAGGCCGCAGCCCCGGACCTCTGCGGGGTCCCGACACGCTGGACGGCTGGCGCCGCCCGGGCGCGGGGTGCCGGCTGCTGCTGGCGCAG